ATCTGTCTGTCTGTCTATCATCAATCTATCAATCAATCTATCAATCTATCTGTCTGTCTGTCTATCATCAATCTATCAATCAATCTATCAATCTATCTGTCTGTCTGTCTATCATCAATCTATCTATCTATCTATCTATCTATCTATCTATCTATCTATCTATCTATCTATCTATCTATCTATCTATCTATCTATCTATCTATCTATCTATCTATCTATCTATCTATCTATCTATCTATCATCAATCTATCTATCTGTCTGTCTATCAGTCCTCAATCAATCTGTCTGTCTGTCTATCATCAATCAATCAATCAATCAATCAATCAATCAATCAATCAATCTATCTATCTATCTATCTATCTATCTATCTATCTATCTATCTATCTATCTATCTATCTATCTATCTATCTATCTATCTATCTATCTCATAGCACCCTAAACAGCCTCACACCCTAGACTGAATGATTGGGACACAAATTTCTCAGCTAATTTCCCTTCCATCTGTATGCTCTTTACTACAGGGAATTCAGAACACATTCACAATTTTGATCATGTGAAATGCCATTAAAAACTGTGATGTGTGAAGCCGTCCCTCATGATGTGCAGAGTATTTGTTGGAATGGAGCAGCTGGAGATGGTGATGGGCCTAATAAAAGTTCAGCTCAGAGCAGAAAGAGAAGTTGCAGTAGCAGGTGTGACAGACATGGCCCCTGGCAGGGAGCTTTTTACACATCTGTGAATACACAGCGCCACTGCCTACGCGCGGCCCCATGGGACCTGTCCTGTATCTGACGTTCTCTTGGAAACATCAGACTGCCATTTGGAACGGTATGTTGAAGAACTCCAAGTAAACACTTTGAGTTTACTGTGTTTTAAGGTTTTTTAATTTGCATTAACCAGTATGAAACTTAACGTCTGCCATGAGGTCAATCTACTCGAATGGAGCACTGTTGTATCTGGATATTTCGATTTTTCACATTAAGTATTGTAAACTTATCACCATGCTGACATCAGTCTGGAATCTGGCACCTGACAGCACCTTCCTTTGATTCGGTGGGAGGTTGTGTCACAAGCGGGTGATATTTTTAGGTGAAGACGTATAAGCACGGTGGATGGCAACACTGAGATGCTCAGACGACGAGAAGGAGGACAGTCTGGCAGGATGCCGAGCCTCATCACTCTGTAAGGTTGCACTCATCTGACGCTCTCAGTCCCGCTTGGAATGTCAGTGGGTGAATTAGATTCAAGAGCGAAAGCCAATTTGCTGTTAGTGTAAATCCTAGTAAAGAAAGGAAAAATGTGAGCAGCTGTACTCTTGTCATGCTTATTTTCGAAGGATTCTTGTGAAGATATAAATAAAGCATGAACTTTCAGCATAACAACATCAACTGCAAAAGACCAAAAGGGTTCATTTAAAGTAAAAAACAAACAAAAACGAAAAAAAAAAAAAAAAAAAGCATATCTGGGTTACAAATCAACAGAAAAACATATTTTTGGGTATAATTTTTAAGAAAGTTATGTCAAGAGAGAGAGACATTTTCATATTTGTATGTATAGGAAGACAACTATTAATAGTATAATTAATTTATGATTATTTGCACAAATGCTGCAATTGAAAATACAAAAAAAAAAATATGACAATGTTTGTGAGATGTTCTACAACAATACATTTTTAACTCTACATTTATTTTCATGAGATGGAGCATGTCAGCTGATGGAGTCTATGTGGTCTAGCCTCACATCTTTGTCTCTATTTTTAAAACCACATTTCATTAAATATTCAACCAATTCTTTTAGCATTTCAGCTATAATGCACTCTCGTGACCTCCTTTTGTCTATGCAGCAGACAAACACAGTAACCTAAAAAATGCTCTTCACCTTCACATGCTGATCATGAATTCAGCACCAGAGAGTTGCCATTAATTTCCTTCTTTAGACAGAAGCATTCATCACATCTTTCATATCGATTTTACCATAACAGTTGCATTAGATCATTTACTATCCAAATCTATCTCATCAGTCGAGTTCATTAAAATCTGTTTTGCTATCGTAGGGCTAAAACAAAGAGAAGTAATCAGTATATAGTACTGAGGTACACCTTGGTTATCATCATAAATAATATAAATAGTAGGCTACTGCAGATCCAGTATTGCTATTGCAGTATTGCAATTTCAATAGCAACAATCTGCTTTTGCTATTAGGCAACATTAAGAAATAAAGTTGTTGTGCTTATGGTTATTGTCACTGAAGATTAATATGAAATTAAACTCTTTATATTCTAAAAATGCTTGATTTCCTGTCTTTTAAGTCTTGTGGGTTTGACTGCACATATCTTCCAGTCTCCCACTCTTTTCCCCAGTTTATTTTTCTGGTGCATGTGTGTATGGATATAAGCAAAACGGTGTGCTGTCTAACAGGATGAAATTGAAGGGGATCACAAATGCAAATTCTGATATTCAGATGTTGCCTTGTCAGACTGTAAGGCAGCCGCTCAACAGACAAGCACAGAGAAAGCGTTGCAAAGCAGAAGATGTTATACATTCTTGTTTTTGCACTGCGGTGTTCCTTTTTAATGCACTCAAAACACATTTTTATCGCTGAATGTTTAAGTGGGTGGGTGAGAAAGAGGAGAAAGAATGAGTGTGTGTTTGAGGTGGTTGGTCTGTAACACTGGCTATGACAGAGGGAAACCCAGTGGGGGAGTAATTGCACTTTGCATGACACACACAATGTATCTGATGACACACTGTGACTGAGGACAAGCATTAACAGCTGAAAACTCAGATACAAGCTACAAGTCTCTTCTAAGCTTTTGTTTGGAAAAGTGGCGGTGGAGTGACGGCTAAATGTCGCCATCCAGTGGCGGTTAATAGACATTGCATATATCCCCATCGCCACATGTATCAAACGCCGTGAAAACAACCTAAAAGACCATACTTGGAAGAAAAAAAGTGATAATTGCTGCACACTTATGAACTTACCGTTTCATGGGTGTTCTGTTACAACCTGACATCGCTTTATAATGCTTTCGAAAACCAGCGGTGTCCAGTATGAGTGTGTCCCCCTAGCGTTTGTTTTGTGTAAGAACGCGCATGCGCAGAGAAACAGCAGTTTGTCTCCCCCTAGCGGGCGTAGTTGAAGACGCGCATGCGCAGTGGAGTTGCAGTCCGCGGTGGGCGGAGTGGATGCGAGGATGTTGAGTTTGTGACGATAAGCAATGTGAATGAAAAAAACAAAAAAAAAAACAAGACGAAATAACTGTGATCTGGGACAAGTAGCGGTCGCGAATTCATACGGCACTGCGCAAAAGGCCATGTAAGTTTTGTCACATTAAGACAACGTGCAACCGAAAACATTTTTTTATTTCAAACATGACAAAATAGTAGATAAGAATGCTCGATGCGGCTAACTATATAGCACTATACAGTGCGCTGTTGCAGGCTGGCGCGACAACTCAAGGTTGTTTATAATATTATAATAACGGTCCAGCATTGGTGCTCAGTCAAAGCGATTGCAACATTTTCACATCATAGCGAAAATATTTATTAAAATTGAGATGACGTCTGCTGTCACTAAAAACAAATAGATCTGCGTTTAATATCACATATAACGATATATCTCTCTATATAACTTGAAGCTGTTATGGCTGTCCGCTATCTTTTTTTTTGTCGGACGTCCTTTGAGTTCTCGTGACCTTGCAGTCGAGTAAGGTTTTCTAAAAGCATGGAAAAATACAGCTGTGGAAACTGCCTTGCGGTCCCAGGCTTTAATGGAATACGCAGTTCAATTAATGGAGCTGACAACGCTTTCAAAATGTTGTTTTGTGGAGTACGTGTAAATTAGTCTTGCATATTTTGAAAGAAATGCCAGTGCTTGAAGATAAATGACCTAAAACACTTTTGTACCAATTTAGTTACAAACTCAGATGTTTGAAAATTAACCATGGTTTTACAAATAAAACCAAAAAACCATGGTTACTATAGTTACATGGTAAAACTTTGGCAACCACAAATTAACCATGGTTTTGAAAGTGAAAGTGAAGTGACATGTGGCCAAGTATGGTTTCCCATACTAGGAATTAGTGCTCTGCATTTAACTCATCCTAAGTGCACACACACAGCAGTGAACACACACACACTGTGAACACACACCCGGAGCAGTGGGCAGACATTTTTTGCTGCGGTGTCCGGGGAGCAGTTGGGGGTTCGGTGCTTTGCTCAAGGGTCTACCTCAGTCGTGGTATTGAAGGTGGGAGAGAGCGCTGGTTATTCACTCCCCCCACCTACAATCCCTGCCGGTACAAGACTCGAACCCACAACCCTTTGAGTTACGAGTCGGACTCTCTAACCATTAGGCCACGACTTCCCCAAAAGCTTGGTTGCTACACTAACCATAGTTTAACCATGGTATTTGTGGCAAAACTGTGGTTATACAAACGGTAATCAATATGCCAAAAAACCATGGTAACTAAATTCTTACTATAATAAAACCATGGTTAATTTTGGTAAGGAAAGTGAAGATGAAAATCTTCTATTCTTAAGTGTAATGTTTTAAAATCCCAAAATCTAAATGGAATTTTAGTCCATGTCTCTTTGACAAACGTAGCGCTCTTTCTTCTTGCAAAATGGACCTTAAAAATGTATGTAAAATAAAATGATCCAATAGAATGAGAATGTTCCTGTCCCAAATTTACAAATATCATCTGCAACTGACTAACCTTAGCAAGCAGTGTTGCCAACTTGGCAACTTTTTGCTAGATTTAGCAACTTTTCAGACCCCTTTGGTAAATGAATGAATGAATGAATGAGTGACAAATCCAACCTTTTCTAGTTTTCCCGAGACTCATCTAGCAACGTTTAGCAAGCAGGCTTTAACTGATTTCATTGAAAGTAGTTTGTAACAGTGTTAGCAAGTAGCAAATCATGGTTTTAAAGGCAATGCACCCAGAAAGAACATTTCACCTCTGTCAAACCATTTAATGAGGCCAGACTGACTGGAGTTGAATTAACTTCGAAAGAAAGCATGTATAAAGAGTGAGTTCAAAATCATGCTGAACTTTCAGTGTCAGTTAAGTCAACACAGCTGGGAAATTCATGTAATCCACACATTAAGATCACAATGTTTATCCCACTATTGTGGTGTTTGTTTTGTTTTACAGATCATTTTAAGCGTAGCCAGCTGGCCGCCCACCCTGTGTGACCTCTGGAAAGGCTTGTTAGGAGCACTATGGGGAACACAAGCAGTGAGAGGGCCGGCATGGGCCAGGAAAAGGCCCACAGGAGGGATAGTCGAGGAACCAAGGAAGGAGACCGTCCTAAAATCCTGATGGACAGCCCAGAGGATGCTGATATTTTTCACGGGGAGGACATCAAAGTGCGTGTTGGCTCGCATTGAATGCTCATTTATGAAGAATATGATTGATGGTAATGTGTTCTGTCCTTTATCTTCTATTAGGCGCCGTTAGAAAAAGAGTTCATTGAGTGGAGACCAGACCTGGAGACCAGTGAAAAGGTTCCCGCTTTAGATCGGCCCACTGTATTTCGGTGGACAGGAGCTGGAAAGGAAGTCTATATTTCTGGCTCTTTTAATAATTGGACCAATAAGATTCCTTTGATAAGGAGGTATGTAAGAGTTAACGTTAACTGAAACGATTAAAATATTTTTCTTAATTGAAATGAACTAAAATATGAAAATTAGAAGAAAAACTTAAAAGGAACGAAAACTATAAATGTTGTTTCGGCAACAGTTGAAGCATTACAATTACTGACTGCAAATAAATAAAAGCTAAAACTGAAGTCAAAATGAAATAAATAAAAAATTCAATAAAAATCAATATGACCTAAATAGTACTGCTGTCAAGTGATTACATTTTTAATGTAATTAATTAGATGATGTGCCGATTAATTAATCGTATTAAACACACATCGGTTTGGGTTGAAAACTTAACCCTAAAAGAATATTTGTAGTCATCATTGTGTTAAATGAGAGAGAATTAAAAAAATAATAATTGTAATACATCATTATTTCCATAATTATATTGCTCCTAATTTACGTGTTAAATTGACAGCCCTACTAAATAGTAATTAATTAACTATAAATAAATATATAATTGAAGATTAAACTAAAATTAAAATGAAAACTAAAAATATAATAGTATATAGGCCTAAATAATACTATTATAGCAGATAATAGATACATATGTCTTCTGCTGAAAGTATTCTACTAAGGTCTTTAAGAAAAAGCTTAAATCCAGTTCATTTGTATTCATTTTTACTTCTGTTTCTTCAATAGTCAAAACAACTTTGTGGCGATTGTGGATTTGCCTGAGGGTGAGCACCAGTATAAATTCTTTGTGGATGGACAGTGGACTCATGACCCAACAGAGGTGACGAAGACGTCAATCATCACCATCCTCCATTAGTACTTTAAAACCATCATAACACTGACCTTTTCTTCTCTTTAGCCTGTGGTGACCAACCAGCTCGGCACGGTCAACAACTTCATCCAGGTGAAGAAGACAGACTTTGAGGTGTTCGATGCGCTCATGGTGGATTCACAGAAATGCTCTGACATGTCAGGTGTGAACGCAACCAACCATCTTCTCAACTTTTCTACAGCTGTTTAATCACAAGAAGCTGAAAATGATCTGCTACATAACTTATGATTACGCAGAAGTGGTTTTAAAAACAGTCAGTCATGGGTTGTTGTGACACATTGTTTTTATTGATTATAGACCTGTCCAGCTCTCCTCCTGGGCCGTACCATCAGGACGCTTACGTACCCAAACAGGAGGAGAAGTTCAAATCTCCACCCATTCTGCCCCCACATCTCCTACAGGTCATCTTAAATAAGGACACAGGCATCTCAGTGAGTATCTACAAAAGACGTCGCATTTGTGTGGTAAATATGACAGGTTTGATTATCATTTTAAGAAATTATTTGATTCCGTATGGGACCCTATGATTTCCCCCAATGCGGAAAATGCTGCTGGAATTTTGGAATTCAGTCATAAAGGTGGAATTTTCTATACAACGTGGAATGTCACAAAATGTATATATCAAAAGTAAGACTGTACAATTAAACAAAAAATTCAAATCATGATATTTGGACTAGTGTCTGGGATTATTAAACTGCAAAGTCTGCCGTCTCACGATATGAGGACATTCCACATGATCTTTATCTCCAGAGCTGCTCTGAGAGTTTACTTCACATGCATTTCTATTTAACTTGATTAAAACTATTGTCAGATATACCCAGAAATGCACTACAAACTCACAATCATAAGATTTGAAATGTTAAAAGTGCAATTTATATGCAGATTATATGTTAAAAGTGCATTCGAGCAGCACAAAAGTCACATTATATCCAATTATTAAATCAAAGCATTAACTTGAAGTTTTATGAATTAATTTCGGTAAGAAAACAGAACCTAAAAAAATGAAAACACAACAGAGAATGTGAAAGAATTTCCAATAAAATTTGATTTCAGGAAAAAATATTTCTAGTTGTATTTCATAGGGCCCTTGAAATATCAGAAGATAAAAAAATATTAGTGCTGTCAAATGATTAATCACGATTAATCGCATCCAAAATAAAAGTTTTTGTTTACATAATATATGTGTGTGTACTGTGTATATTTAATATGTATATATAAATAATACATACACATGCATGTATACATTTAAGAAAAATATGTAAAATTTATACATTTAAAATATTTGTATATAATATCAATTATATGAATATAAATATATACATGGAAAGATTTTCAAAATATATACTGTATTTGTGTGTATTTATATATACATTAAATATACACCGTATACACACATATTCTGTAAAAAAACCTTTTGTTTTGGATGTGATTAATTGCAATTAATCATTTGACAGCACTAAAATATATATATATATATAATAATTAGTGCTGTCAAAATTAGTGTGTTAACGCAGGTGATTAATATTTTCAGTTTAACACGTTAAAAATATTTAATGCAATTAACACAGGGGCGGGGCTAGAGTTGGCCCCACTCACAATTTAGTCGCAGAGCGTCTTTGCGACCACATCAAACGGGAGACGTTTCAGACGCGCTCCAACTTCACTTCAGTCTAATGAGCGCGGAAAAGGTACTGTGCTCATAGCACGTGCCACCACTCGCTGTAGCCTGTATTATTTTGTATCAAAGCTCTACGAGCATGCAATGTCGTGGTCAGTTAAGTCATGAAGTTACCAAAAAGGCGATTAAAGCTGCCTTAAAACTGTGCATGCATGTAATGTATTATATATGAGTCACATTTAAGAACATGTCTCTGAAATGGTTTTCAAAACTGTCCTGGAGCAGCCCAGCACTGTCTCACTCATCTAACACACACACCCGATTTAACTCGTCAGCTCATTAATAGAGACTTCAAGACCTGAAGTGGGTCAGAAAAGGAGAGTTGAGAGAAAATACGATGAGTGTCAGATCCGCGTCACGTTCAGCAGCGGCAGCTCTTAAAGAAATAGCAGCCAGAACAACCTAATAACCCGCTGCTGTGATGTCTGTTAATCAAAGAAAAAAGAGAAAATCAATAACTTTTATAGCTTTAAGGATTAATCTATATTTAATTTAGAATTTAGTGTTTGATAACTTCAATTTCAATTTCTGTATATTTGTACTGAAGGGCACAGGTAAATATGACATTTATTATAATGGGTTTATGTGAAGGTTGTTTTAAGTTCACTTAAATTAGGTAAAAAAAAAAAAAGTCTAATAAAGGTTAAAATTGATAGCTCTCAATTATACTGTAATGTTGAATGGCTATAGTCAATGGTTAAATATTAGGGGAAAAACTAGTATTAGTAGTATTGGTATCAGTGATACTGGCCTTCAGTCATAAATAGATGCCATTAAACAAATATTAAAAATATACTGTCTTTATGTTGTTTGTACATTTGAAGATTGAATGTGAAGTTATTGCAATTTAAAAGTATATTTAAAAACTTTAATGTTAGGCACGATTAATTTCAGAAAAAATGTGCGATTAATTAGTTCATTTTTTGAATCGATTGATAGCACTAATAATAATATAGGTCTGATTTAATTGTTTATACTTGCAAAAACAAGTATAATGACAAAAACAGATATTAGGTTACTAGGATCACTTCAGAAATCAAATATATATACGTTAACCTCAAAAAACAGTTTGAAATGACTTATTCTGTTGGTATTTTCTTCTCTATTGACATTATAAACTTGGTTTGATTATGCAAGCTTGCATACTAGTTAGTAGCATCAACCCGATTTTCTGCCATTTAGCAGGTATTAGCATACTGTCCAGATGTAAATGTCCTGACCTTAAAAATAATTCGAATTTATGAATAACCTTTCTAACTGCGTCAGTGGCATTCCAAAGCAGGGTGAATGTATGAGTTTGCAATATAAAAGGTGGAGGAGAGGCTGTTCTCTGACAACAGACAGAAAATAGAATTGATACCATCCCATAACAAAAGGAGAAGGTGAGGCAAATCTATCATTCCCTTGCAACCATCTCTGACTCATGTGACTCTCCTTCAGTTTGGCCACGGGCAAGTATGACAAAGTCCTTGCTTTGTAAATGTAATATGATATGCATTGATCAATTTAATGCATCCTTGCAGAATAAAAATTAATTTTTCAAAAATTTATTATAAATTATTTTTAATGTAATTTTGATCTCTAAAATAAATGCACGAGTCCCCATGAGTCTGTGTGTATTCAGGTTTAAGTCCCCACCAGAATAGAAAAACTGATACACACATCACACACACGTGTTAAAAATTATACTTTGAATTTTTGTAATTTTGATTTTATAATTTAAACATTTAGTCATTTTTAAATTTATTATAAAATATATTTTATAAAATAATGATAAAAGTTATTGTATTTATGTACACACTCACAATATACTAAAATATATATATTTTTTATAATAAATTATAATTACTACAATGCAATTATATTACTATTTTTATTAAGCTCTCTCAAAAAGTTCTAGTAATTTTATACACACACGTGTATGTTAAACATTATTATATTACATATTTGTGTAATTTTGATTTCATAATTTACAATTTTATTAATTTTAAAATAAAAAAATTATAAAATGCATTTTAATATAAATTAATTTTTTTTTATATTATTGCATTTATGTATGTATATATATATACACACATACAGAGTGTACATATATTTAAATACTTAAAATATATATAAATTATAATTAATACAATGTGAAGTAATTACATTGCCATTTTTATTCATCTCTATAATAAAATATAAAAGGTTGATGTAAAAATATATAAAGTTGAAATAGTAATTTTGTGTGTGTAACTATATATCTATATACAGTGGGTACGAAAAGTATTCAGACCCCCTTAAATTTTTCACTCTTTGTTATATTGCAGCCATTTGCTAAAATCATTTAAGTTAATTTTTTTCCTCATTAATGTACACACAGCACCCCATATTGACAGAAAAACAGAATTGTTGACATTTTTGCAGATTTATTAAAAAAGAAAAACTGAAATATCACATGGTCCTAAGTATTCAGACCCTTTGCTGTGACACTCATATATTTAACTCAGGTGCTGTCCATTTCTTTATAGCCTATATGCTGATTTGATGTTCAATAAACATTTCTTATTATTATCATTGCTGAAAACAGTTGTGCTGCTTAATATTTTTTTGTGGAAACTGTGATACAAATTTTTCAGGATTTTTCAGAATAGAATAGAACAATATTTATTTAAAATTGAACGTATCCTTGCTGGATAAAGGTATTAAAAAAATGGAATGGTATGTTATGTCCAATGAGATGATTTATTTATTTATTTTTAACATTTTTTAAAATTTACATTAAAATTTTTATTTTACATTATTCAAAATTGAAACGTACAAACTCTATTTTGTAATTATTTTGAATCTTTTATCACCTTTTAGTTCCAGACCCAGTTTTCTTAAAAATATCCTAAAATATCAAAATCTATTATAAAATATTTATTATTCTTATTTTATAATTACAATAATCTAAACAGTGTGTGAAATAATCAGGGTAAATTTCTGTAAACAATGCTTTGTAATGGAAAAAGGTTCTTTAGATTATTAAAATGTTCTTCACACAAAGAAAAAAATGTTTTTTAGGAACTCACTGAAAGCTTCTTTGAGGAACCAAAAATGGTTCTTCTGTGAAACTCCCTTTAGGAAGCTTTATGAGTGAGTTTGGGAACAGAATGAGGATGCAGGTGGTTTGGAAGGATTTGTTTGTTTCATTACAAACACTAACTGCTGGAGGGGGAGACACCTCGGAAACACATCGATCAATTCACAAGACAACAATAATCTAAACAGTGTGTGAAATAATCAGGGTAAATTTCTGTAAACAATGCTTTGTAATGGAAAAAGGTTCTTTAGATTATTAAAATGTTCTTCACACTAAGAAAAAAATGTTTTTTAGGAAGTCACTGAAAGCTTCTTTGAGGAACCAAAAATGGTTCTGTGAAACTCCCTTTAGGAAGCTTTATGAGTGAGTTTGGGAACAGAATGAGGATGCAGGTGGTTTGGAAGGATTTGTTTGTTTCATTACAAACACTAACTGCTGGAGGGGGAGACACCTCGGAAACACATCGATCAATTCACAAGACAAGGGAGAGGAATGAATGACAAACTCCCTCAGATACAAGGACATTCCAGTGTGTTCGCCTCACTGCATGGGCTGAACCAATCAGAGTAAGTCGTCATGAAATCATGGCTGGAGTCGTGGGAGGCTTTACCTGCCTTATACTCGCTGTAACTCGATTCACGCCATCCAGGCACGAAACCTTTACTCCAATGCTTGCAGTATCTATTTACGCAATATAGCTTTAGTCCAGGCGGGATGTCCTCACAATGATTCTCCTGTCCCTGTTCTCGAGCGTGCAGGAGAGGAACCAAGGAAGACTTGTGTGAAAGCTATTTCAGCTTCTCAGTTT